AAAGCACTTTCAAAGAAACAATAAAAAAAAACACAGTTTCAAAATCAAATAAATACATTAATAACAGAAAATGTCAAAAAAGAAGAACAAAAAGCATAAAAATTTAATTTTTTTCCAAATTATGCAAAAAGAAAACATTCCTAAAAAAACAAATAAAAAAGTTATAATTTAAAACAAAACTGTAAACGACAGTTCTGCCTATACAATATTATATATAGTCTTTTGAGGGCAGTAAAACAAATGAATTAAGTGGTTTTGTTTAGTCTGGCACAAGGTTACAACAGAGGAGCATCCATGAAGATTTTATTCATGATGTTTGATAATAATCAGTAGTTACCTAATCACTGTTGATATTTACTAAGCTTAGTTTAATATGATAAATGACTGCAAATGGGGGGAAGTCTATTACAATATGTTTACCAAATTAGCTTACTAACATTCTAAGTATTTTTATATTTTCCAAATTTAGTCTGGCACAAGGCTACATTATTTGAAGCTCCTTGTAAAAATGAATATTATTACACTAGTAAACAATGTATGTGGCAAGCTAAATGGGCATGTAGCTGAATGGTTAGAATATTAGTATTCCAACCATGAAACCCAAGTTCAAATCTCACTGCAGTCAATTAATCAAGGAGGTGATGTCTCGATTATATCAGCTTCAAGAGGCAATCCCAGCCTACAACACCATTGGGACATGCCTGAAAATCAAACCACAGAGTGACCCAAGCTTCGTGTGTGAAATTGGGCAGATGAAACTGTTTAGAAGCTGTTGATGATTGTGCTAACACAAAGTCACAAGTCAGCATGACTGAGCGTTCAAGCCCACTGGCCTTGTTCAACAACTGATCAAGCCAGTTCTCTCTTCAAGAAACTGAAACTAAGGTCTGGTCAGTATAGTTGCAGCATAAACCACAGGTTAGTTCTATAGGTATTGAATGAACGCAAATGTGCCTGAGCAAATACCTGTTAGTCACCTCCAACAGATGGGCATACTCAGAAATGAAACAAGTTTAGCTTGTTAAACATCAAGCCATTGATGAGATTCAAAGAGTTTGCAATGTTTTATGAGCCTTATATATATATATATTACAGAGAGTTAATCATAAAGTTCAAATATTTCAAGTGAGAATTTTTATATGAATTTTGTAATTTGGTAAATCCACAAATTTTTTATTATAAGTGTTTTTCAGTTAACATGACATGAACTAAATAGATAGTTCAATTAACAGAGTGATATGTCTTAGTAGTTTTTTTCTCAGGAATTCTTTACTGCCGATCAATTGTTTTTCATGAACATAATAAAATAGGCTGCCTATTTTATATATATATATATATATATATATATATATATATATTCCTAAAGAATTAATGCATTTAATTTTATTCAGATATTTTTATTACTTCAAATTTTATTATAGGGATACACTTATTTGAAATAAATGCCATGTTTTTATTTTAATCGGTGTGTATTATGTATATCTGTATATAATGTATATTATAAAATCCTAATAAAGAAAATGCTTTCTCTGGCAGAAATTGAGCCTGCGTCCAACTTTGTAGAGCCAACAGTTTAAAATAATAATGTTTCAAATATTAGTGTTCACTGTAATAACTTTTGAAGTAATAATAAAGTTAATACAACTAAGAAAATACATGAAAACTTAACATATTTTCAGGCAAGGAGAATTTCTGCTAAAAAGCGCTCAGTAGGTAACTAGAACTATGATATTCAATAAATCAAGAAAGTTTCAAGTGACTTATCTGGTTGACCAACTCAAGAGTTTTGCCTTGAAACACGTATCATAGTCAAACATTTCATAAATATATCAAATTTGATTTGATAAATTTATCAAATATCTAGCACTAAGGAGTATTTTGATATAAAACTCTTGAAAGTCAACCAGAGAAGTCCTTGAACTTTTCCTGAATATATATATATATATATATATATATATATATATATATATATATATATATATATATATATATAAATAATTGTAATATATTCCACATACAGTGCTTGATGTCTGTAATACAACAGAGGTATTAAGCATATATTAATAAATATACATATTATCCCTCATTGATAACATGACTCAGAGTTTCATGCACAATACAATCTTCAGGTGCTGAGTATAGACTGAGTATAAACTCTGATTCATGCTATCAGTGAGGGATAATATGTATATTTATTAATATATATATATATATATATATATATATATATATATATATATATTAATAAATATACATATTATATATATTTTATATATATATATATATATATATATTTTTTTTTTTTTTTTTAGATATGGTAAAAATTTTTTTTTTTTTTAAATATTTATGACAGTTAGATTTAAGTTAGGAATATCCGAACAGTGACGTTCCATATCACGTGACGTCCGCGTCTCGCGAAAGGACGCTACTTGCTAACAAACAGTAATTTTAATTTATTTGTAACAAACAGTTATTTCTGATGAAAAATTGAGGACAATTTGAAATATCAAATATATATATAAATAAATAAATACTTTCATAAAATAAAACATTATAATTTTCAATTTGAAACTTTTTATATATATATATATATATATATATATATATATATATATATATATGTATATGGGATAATGATATATAAATTTTATATAAATTTTTATATATCAAGAACAGTTTTGAATGAAAAGATTTATGACAAATTTTGTGACACATCTCATCCATTAGGACTTCATTGGACTGGGTTTATTTACATTGTTGTGTCTACACATGTGCACAAGCAAGGGACAGGAGTTTCAAAATTTAGAAATAATTTTTTTCTTTTTTTGCAACCTATCCAAATTTATCTAGATTCTTTTTCTTTTTCTTTCCATCATCTTTGTTATTAAATATCTTACATTGTGATAACAGAAAATCTGCCAAGAATGTTGAAATGTAAGAATCTGGATGCAAATTTACTGCATATGAACTAGCAAATAAAATACTTTCTAAACATTTTCATTTTAGTTAATTATTTTCTCTTTTAATTTGAGTAGCATTTTTTATGTCAAAATTGTTGTCAGTTTTGTTACAATGAACATTTTGTGTTATATATATATATATATATATATATATATATATATATATATATATATATATATATATATATTAATAAAAATTTAGGATGAAAAACAAGAGAGAAACTATTCTTAAAAAATGTGAATCCCATCATTGCATGAAGCTATGATTAAATTTAATTGAGTGAAATAATTCATTGCTTTTAATCTTTTGGAAGAATGTTCACAAATCTCTGCTTTATATAAATATTGTTGGAAAATCCCAAATTGTGTCAACATATTTTAACATAGAATTATAAAGATAAAATACAATCTTTATGCCATAGTCTCCCTATTTTTAATTCAAATGCTCTTAATGAACTTACAAGAAGTTTCTTCACCATTTAGAGAAAACACAATTTTTTTATTATCTGTTAAAAAACTGAAGGATGCAATTTTTTGTTGTTTCAACTTAATTAAACAAAAGACAGCTATTAACAAAATAAATAAATAAATAAAATAGACTAAGCTCTTTGCAGGATATATGCCATGCTTGTGAGAATTATTTTTTGGATTTCCTAGACAGATGGTATACCAAGGATTTTGTTGATTTGTTCTTGAGTTCCTTTCTTTATTAGACCCAAAGCTCCAACCACAACAAGAACAGTTTTAAGTTTTTAAGTGCCACATTTATTATTATTATTGTTGTTGTTGTCATTTCTTTCTTTCTTTTGATTTGCTGTTTGATACACTCATTTTTTTCAGTCTAAGATGTATGATAAATGAAACTTTTTCCTTAGGAAGTTATTGAAAGAGTTTTTCTAAGGATGTTTTATTTTGGTTATTATTCTTTCTTTTGATTTTCAGTTTGATAAAATCACTTTTTACCAAGTCTTTCACCTGAGACATAAGTTAAATGTAGTTTGATCTTTGGAATGTTTTGAGTATACTGGATTGAAAGAATGAAATAAGGTACAAACTTTTTCTAATATAGTTTGTGTGCAATATATTTTATGCCCCAGGGACACATACCAACCTATCTCTATATTTGTCAATATATTTCTCTAAAATGATAATTTTTGATTATGCAAAGGAATTTCAAGGAATCATCAGCTTCAAAACAAGTAGAGCTGGGATTTTATATTTGTGTATAATTATTTGATAGTGTAATGTTATGTTTAATTATTGTAATGTTTAATTATTGTAATGTTATAATTATTTGATTGTGTTATGTTTTTTTAACATTATAGTCATGTCATAAGTGGTATTTAGTTTTTGTATTTATAAACTGTACTTATGTTAAAAGTAAAAAGGTTTTTCTTTTCCAGATTTTGATAAATAAGGGTGTTTCTTTTAAGAATTTAAAAATGTTATCTGGATTGACCCTAGTAGAGAATTATTTGGTAATATTTGATTCAGGCTAGTTTCAGGTTCTTACATGTTAGTATATGACTTACTGTGTACTCTTCCTGGTATGTCATGTACATTGGGGCTTCCTTCCACTTTAGTAGGTATAGGTATGTGATAGATGTGTATCCTATACAGATCCTGCTCAGTATCACCTCTTCTTTTCTGGACAGTGTGTAACTCTTATAAGTGTCAAATAAATGCTTTGGCTTTTTTAATGATATGCCGGAAAAAATACCATTTCAATTTTGAGATAGGACTTTGAAATTCTGGAACTTTCCTTTTTGAACTTTTAGAAACTTGAATCACTCATTCTTAATTGACTTACCAATGAATTAATTCTGGTGGAATGCAGGAAAATACATTCCACTATAATTTCTTTATTTGTTTTCTCTATAGAAATTTTGTTCATTTAAAAGTTTTTAGCCATCCAAGTGTTTTGTCTTTTAGGTGTTCACATATCATGCTTTTATGTGGTATTTTGAAAATAATCAGAACAAAATAAATCTCTTGTAAGAAGAAAAAATATGAAATTTTTCCAAAATAAAATATCCTTACCTTCGATAATTCTTAGTTTGTCTTCGTCACTAATGGTTCCATCATCTTTTTTCTTTCCTCATCCAAAATGACCTCCTCTGTAAAAAGAGGAAAAAAACAAAAAAATTTTAAAAATCTTGTTTTAAGAATAGTTCAGAAAGAAAAAATCATGATATATATGTGTGTGTGTGCATTTTTTCAAACTATATACTTCGATGTTAAAAGGTATCCTATTTAATGTTGGCTGCTTCTCTTATATTACAAAAGCTCTCAGAATTTCAAGTTTTTCTTTATATTAAGTCCTATATAATATTTTTGTGCTATCTATTAAAATTTATCATATGTTAATATTATTTTGGTTATTTGTCATATGTTGATCTATATGTGCACTCTATTTTGACAAATGACAAGTCAACCTATGAGAGACTGTGGTGCATATATATAAGTTATGAAAAACTTGGTAATCCGTATGGGTAATCCCAAGGAGGATGAAATCCTGAGAGCACAATGTAAATCCAGAGCTAATGTTTTAAAGAAAAACAGACCACTTTAAAGTTTTTCTTTAATATATATATATATATATATATATATATATATATATATATATATACAAGTAGTAATCAAGTATACCAAAAGTGAGTCCTATTAACACAATATATAATTTTAAGTATTAAATACTAAATGTTAAAACTGACTCACAAAGAGTGCTCAATGTTTATTTTCATTAAACAGAGCAAAATATTTCAAACAATTGGAATTAAGACATAATGATCATTTTCACCCACAAATTTTAAATTTAAAATTCACAGGATTTTTCAAACTGTTTTTGGTGTCAGTTCTCTTGCCTTCAATGTGCCTTCTGAGTGTTAAATGATAGCAACAACAAAGATGCGGACAATAGTTCAAATATAAATAAGAATTTTTGTTGATATTTTCATTATATAGTTTTTAGTTTTAAATTGTGGCTTACTTATTTTTTGAATTTGTTGAAAATAATTATGACCCTTTAAAATTTCAGTTGTTTTTTTCTGACTGTAATTAGCAATTTCTTTGTAGTTCTTATTTTTGTTAAACAGTTTAATTTCTTGTACATCTGGCTTGTGAAACTCTCTTCTGGCTCCATGTTTTCTAGCCAACATTAATCTTCAAAGATTTAAATGCAATGTTAATCACTTTCTGCTGTCCTCCTAATTACTCTTCTTTTGTTCTTGCTCCTTAATAAAGTTTCTGTTTCTAATCCTTCCACACTCAATAATCCCCTGTGTCCTAGTAGCTAGGTGTGAAATTGATTAAAAAAACAAACTGTATTACATATTTTTGGGAAACAATATAATGTTGCTTTCATTGTAGCCCTATTTCTCTGTTCTTCTGAGTAATGGTGTTGAACAAGAAGAAAATTTTATACTTACCTGCTTTACATATCCATTCCAAATAGCCATTTAATTCTCTTTCTATCTGTTGTTGTCTACGTAATTTTAAAAAAGCTCTCCTGTTTTCTACTCGTTCTCTCTCTTTTGCAAATTCTCTGTAAAAAAAAGAAAAGAAAGAATTATTTAATAAAAGCAAGTAATAAACATAGGTCAATGAATTAAATATTGTTGTGTCCTTATGCACCTGTGACCACTGCAAATTTTTCCCAGGTTATTTTCACCTCTGCTAAAGAATCCCACTTATCTTCTTTATGCACTTATGTATAAATATTCTTTTAGTTCTTATTTTCTTTCAGACTTCCTTGTTACTCACATATACAGTCTGTGGTATTCTTTTACCTTCTTTCTGCAGAACCACTGTTGTTTCAATGCTCTTCTTCCTCCCACTTATCACAATATTTCTAGTAGTAAAACCTAATAATCGTTATTTTGCTATTGAAAAGAAACATGAACATTAAGATATATTCACAACTTTATTTGGATTTTTTTTTGTTAACTCACCTGATTAAAATATTTACTAAATTCTTTATTATTTTGAGAATATTAAATAAAAAAAAGTTTTTAGATGACATATAATTGTTATTATTCATTTTTTGATGTCTTTCATCTTATTTCTTTTACTCCTTGCCATCCTTATCCAAGTTCAAACCTCAATAGAAACTTATTCTTTATCTCTATTTACATTGCTTATTTGACATGGAATAATGATTTGGAAATGACAATAAAATTAGAGATATTACAAAGACTGGGCAAAAATTAATAATAATGAAAAGAAACAATTCAATTTTAAAATTTAACGAGTTTTTTAAATAGTCAATTTATTGCTTCCCAAAACTGAAAGAAACTCAATCAAAGAAGCTACCAAAACTTTCATATTTTTTTTTAATATATGAAGTATAGAGATCTATGTAATAAACAATAATTATATTCAAAATTTATAGTCAGTTTATCACTTCCCAAAACTGAAATAAACTCATTCAAAGAAACTACCAAAACTTTCATAATTTTTTTGATATAAGAAAACTGGACATATGTGATAAACAATAATTACATTGAATATAATCTGTAATTTTGTTAAAATCAATATGAACTGATACATTAAGTTACTTATATTTCCCTAACCCTGCCAGAAACCGAATGGAGGTAAAGGAAGTATATGTTCATTTCTGGGTTGAGAGACGAGCAATAATTTCCTCTACACCCATATATATGTGTATGTAAAGAGTAGGATGCACATAAAACTGACCTTGTGTCAAATGAGCAATAATTTCCTCTACACCCATATATATGTGTATGTAAAGAGTAGGATGCACATAAAACTGACCTTGTGTCAAATGAGCAATAATTTCCTCTACACCCATATATATGTGTATGTAAAAGTAGGATGCACATAAAACTGACCTTGTGTCAAATGAGCAATAATTTCCTCTACACCCATATATATGTGTATGTAAAAGAGTAGGATGCACATAAAACTGACCTTGTGTCAAATGAGCAATAATTTCCTCTACACCCATATATATGTGTATGTAAAAGTAGGATGCACATAAAACTGACCTTGTGTCAAATGAGCAATAATTTCCTCTACACCCATATATATGTGTATGTAAAGAGTAGGATGCACATAAAACTGACCTTGTGTCAAATGAGCAATAATTTCCTCTACACCCATATATATGTGTATGTAAAAGTAGGATGCACATAAAACTGACCTTGTGTCAAATGAGCAATAATTTCCTCTACACCCATATATATGTGTATGTAAAGAGTAGGATGCACATAAAACTGACCTTGTGTCAAATGAGCAATAATTTCCTCTACACCCATATATATGTGTATGTAAAGAGTAGGATGCACATAAAACTGACCTTGTGTCAAATGAGCAATAATTTCCTCTACACCCATATATATGTGTATGTAAAGAGTAGGATGCACATAAAACTGACCTTGTGTCAAATTTGCTCATGTTTGAAGACAGATAAATAAGATATATTAAATTACTCAGTTATGATTTCTGATAGGTTACGTTGACATTAATATTTGGTAATCAATAAAATTTAAACCAAAATAAATACAGTTTATAAAACTATAAAAACTACTTTTCTTTCTATGTGCCGTGTCCTTTCAGGACGTAGGTGACTATGGATCTCCACCTCTTTCTATTCTTTGCAACTCTCAACAAGTTCCTTCCCTCTGCTTTCTCCCCCAGACCACATTCTGTCATCCACTTGCTTAAGGCTGCTAGGTATGTCATGCATTGTTTACTGATATATCAATACAATTTGATGATTATATACTGGAAAAAAATAATGAATAAAAGTACATATTTTATTTGATAATTTTACACTATAAAAAATAAGAAGAAAATTCCAAAAGTTATTTTTTTAAGATTTATATTTAGAGAGAGTTTTTGATAAACTATATAATAAAATTGGTTCACTGTCTGTCACGTACTATATGCATGAGACTTTGAGACTGCATATATAATGTATATGCATATGTCTGCATTGTGGATGAGTGACTTACATGTGTACCATTTAATGTATACATAAACACAATCACATGCACACACAATATGACTGAGTTTGAAATTAGTCAGTGAGATAATGTATTCTCCAACTCAGTCTGGACAAACCCTACCCAGTGCTGAGCAATAAAATCTTAAAAAGGAAAACAAATTTAAACCCAAAATAAAATCAGATAATTAGATGATTTTCAGAAATTTCAGAGTTATTTTTAAAGTTATTTTTTTTAATTTTGTAAAAATATTTTAGGTCTATCATTGAGTGCACAGTAAATGCACATACATGCACAATTTAAATGAAATAAATAGACATCTTTCTCACATGCATACACAATGTGACTGAGTTTGAAATAAGACACTGAAATAATACATTCTCCTTCAACTCAGTCTGGACAAAGAATATAAGCCAAAATGTATGAACTTTTGGAGTCATTTAGATGATTACTTTTGTATTTACACTGAATATATTTTCTAATAAATGCAGATCTAGATTTGAATTTGATCATCTTGCTGTAAATAAAATAACGGGGGTGGGTGCAGGATTGAACTCGTAGACTGTTAAAAATAAACTTAAAATTTTACTAAAAATGTGAATTTTAAGAACTTGTACTTATTTTATATAAAAATAAAACATGATTGATACAGATAAATATTTTAGACAAAATTTGTTGCAAAGCCAAAAATGTTGTTAATTTATTTTTTTAAATTATGTTAACACTAAAAATGTGTCACTGGATGAACAGGTAATTTAATCATGAAGGATTTTGCATAAAAAGGAAAATGAAATATGCTAAAAAGGAAGAGAATATACTTTTTGCAATGATTAAACAATTAATTTATACTGGACAGTTTTCTGAAACTTGTTTTGTAATAATTTCTGTCTGAATTTCTGGGACAAGAAATTCTTTCTCCTGTTGTTCTTAATTTTTATTGAAAGCATGCCTCCCAAGCCCACTATTTGGTGAGGGCGGTGGATTGGCCGTTGATCCCCCCCCCCCACCGGGTCGATGCTTGGACTTAAGGTAAGCTGTACATTCACTTGTTATCATGAGGAAGAAAGCGGACTAACACTCGCTGCCACGTATGTTGGAGCATTTATTATGACATGGCAATAAATCTGGATAACCTTATTTTCTTCGATTTCTTTTTAGAATAGACGATGGGACTTATACTAAGTTAAAACTTAAAACTTAATGTTGCGAAAGGGTAAATGCAAGTGTCAGCCAGGACTCTTTGCAAATTACCTCCCCCTCTCATCGTTACCTCTGTTTTTGTTGTTGTATGTGTTATATGTAATAGGAGTAGGTAGGCTTTCCTACCGCCCGGTCCACACTCCTCCCCTTTCTCTTGGACATGAATAGAGGCTTACACCTTGTTTTTTGTTTAGGAAGGGGTTTCCGGTACTCTCTCTCTCTCTTGCTGGCCTCTGTATCTCCAGTTGCGTTGATCTATCCACTACTCTTCTCCTCATCCTTTCTTCTATCACTCCTATCTGACCTTGCTCCAAATTTTCTGTAACCCCATGCGTCCTAGTGGCTTTCCGCCTTGCTTGGGGTGAAACGCTTAAAAAGACTAACATCCCTCTCTTTGTTGTTTTTGCTATTGTACCATCTGGCCTTCTTCAGAAATCTGTCACTCCAGGTACTCTTCAGGAAATTTTGAACTAAACTATTTAATCTCTGTGGCTAGATTGTTCTTCTTATTCTACTCTTCAGGGATATCCTGATTTGTTCGTTTTTGTTTTAGTACTGTTCAGTCAGATAATAACCCAAAGAATTAAAATATTGGTTCATGAAATTCAAGGAACAGTAGTTGTGAGTTCAATCCCTGGGCAACAGAACTAGTAATAACTGAGAAAAAAAACAAGAGGAGATATCCCTAAACATGGACAGTAGAATGAGAACAATCTACCCCTTCAGACTGATTAAAGGGTGCACTTTGAAATTCCCAGATCAAGAGATACCTGAAGAAGACTGATGGTCACAACAGTTGAAATATTGTGATCATAGCAACAAAGATGGAAATATTATTTTGAATGTAAATATCATTTCACAATGACATAAATGTTGTTTTCTTAATGTAAAATGGGTCACATATTAAATATTTCTTTTCAATATAGATTGTTAATTTCTGAAAAGTTAAGTAATTCTAAGGGTTTAAAACCTTATATTCCTGCCATATAAGACACAGTTTAAAGAAATCCTCCAGAGATCATTTTTTGTGTTATATACAAATAGAAGTGGTTACCACTAACACTTAAAGACTTGTGTTTGACACACTAATTATCTGATGAAATATGTGTGATTATAAATGTTTAAAATTTGATTACAAATTAGCTTCTTCTCTTGCACTTCCTTACAGTGGAACTCTCTTCCTCTTACTTGCTTCCCTGATAACTAAAATCTTCAAAAATTTAAATGTAATGTCAATTGACATCTTCTGATGTCTTGATCCCTGTTCTTTTACCCTCCTCTTTTTATCCTTTCCTCAATCCCCCCCCCCCACTATACCCAGTCTTTTCTCTTACTTTCACTCTCTGTAGACCTTTGCATACTAGTGGTACTCCCACTT